AAAGAGGGAAATAATAAGGAGTGGAGTAAGACATGGATTTACATATTCATGCAATTAAATGACTTTTCCTGTAACATTCTCTGGTCAATACAGTAACTTATTTCTCAGCCATGTGCAAAAGGCAAAACTTACTTGAATTGGATTACACAATAACTAATGTAATAAAATTCTCATAGTAAAGTATACAATGAGTTTTGCTTAAATACCCCTAAATTACCTTAATATATAGCACTAATGGTTAAAAAAATTCCTCAAGATGACATACTCTCACAAAAGAATTACTAATAATAATAATAATAATAATAATAATAATAATAATAATAATAATAATAATAATAATAATAATAATAATAATAATAATAATAGTAATAATAATAATAATAATAATGCAATAGACGCAACAGTAACCATAAATGCAATGCCTCTGAATAGCAGTTACTGAGACACTGTATTATGAGGCTGTAAAAGCTTCATAATCAGAGTTGTAGGATTTTGGATTAAAAATATACTCGGCAACCAACAAAATTGTAATACTGTACTGCACAGTATTTGAAAATTTTGCTTTTATTTATGGCTGTGTAGTAAGCCTTTCCCAACTGACTTACTGATAGCAGTTATCTATAAGGGAAGTTTTGTCTTCTTACTTAATACTTGCCGATGGACTATTTGTCCACATATTAGAGACCAGTAATGCCATTCATATAATTTTCTCCCAGTCTAAACAGTAAAATTAGGTACTGTCAGCCTCCCACACCCACCAGGGATACTAACCCTACACACACATTGTGATGGTGGATCTTGTTATATTATAAGCATTATGGTATCCTATATATAAGCATTCTTCTACATATCCATATACCTGTACAGGATACAGTACAGATACATGATCTCTCCTAGTATGCATTGAGAAAAATCTCTGAAACATACTTAGCTTTGTTTTCATAATCCCTCATCAATTTCTAAATGAAATTAAGTTGGAAATATAAGTAAGACATACCTCCCTCATGTTGACCATTAAGATCACAACATTATTATCCTGTATCTGAGATAATGAGTCATGGTGCCAACTAAACACTCAAATACAAAAAGAGTTGTTTCTGGCTTTTTTCAAAAACTGTCAGGCAACAGTCTCGGTCTTTGTTGACAACATTTTTTTATCGGTATTTAAATATTTTCTTTGTGATACTAAAGTGGCCGGAACTGTCAATACACCTGTACTGTATATTATTCAACACAATTTAAAGTAAGCCCCTACACATTCCTAGTTTTGTAAATCAGGACACTGATGCTCTTTCTACTGTCTTTGAATGAAGATTTTATCTAAGGGGACCAAAATCAGAAAATACACGCAAATTATACTTATTGTTGTTTGGTATAAAAATTTAACTCTCCATATCTAGAGATGTGTGTCTTTACACAGAAAACAAATCACGAAAATACACACCCATCTAAGTTTTAAAATAACACCTGAGTGCAGTTATATACAGAAGTCTTTGCTGTCTACCTAAGTACAGTAATTAACTGAAACTCTGTATAAAATGGGATACCAGTACTGTATGTGTTGAAATACTTTACAGTATCTAACTTCCATACGGTGACAAAAATTTTAGCAGAACTATATCTTTTCAATTCCTTACATTTCTATTTTTCTCATTTTATAGTACAGTATAGTCTCGATTTACGCGGTCAATTTAACCCGTGGAGGTCCACGTAAAACGAGGAATGCGTAAACGAAACAACAGAACATATGGGATTAATTGAAATAGAGACTGGGCCGACTCCCAAACTACACTTTTTCCGACACAATACGTACGTTGTAGTAAAAATAACATCTTAATTTTATGATGATATGCACGCACAATTAATATTTAAGAGAAATATCAATAATATTAGGTTTTTTATCACTTACGTTAGTAGAAGAGATGGCTGGGTACAAGGGGATGTGGGGTTGGTTCTGAGGCAGAGGGCAGATTATTGGCTCTCACTTGTATCACCTGTATCACTATCCACCACAGAGGCTTGCAGGGCCTCTTTGTCAAACCCCTCAAAGTCCATATACTCACTATCACTATCACTGACTTGGGCTGGCTGTGGTGGGTGGCGAGTGAAGAACTCGGAAATGTTTAATTGACTGGGTGACCTTGTGCGCACCCTGCCCGCGCCACTTCCCGCGTAAATGATGGAAAATACTGAGTAAATAAAAATTTAAGGTCTGGCAAGGTGCCGCGTAAATGACCAAACGCGTAAACGAAAAACGCGTAAGTCGAGACTATACTGTACACTGATTGTCAAAAAATCAGAATCAAACTATTAACTATCCATATTTCTATTAACATTAGACAAGAGCTGAATTTATCTGACCCAAAAAGCACCTTCTTCACATTTATAACTATACAAATATGTAAAGTATTCCTTGGAGGATGATAAAATCAAGTATTTCATTTAAAGGGTATGCAGCTACAGCTTTATAATGAAACATTCAACTCTAACAGTTCAATTT